TGTATATAAATATGTGTGTGTTATGAGTATGTGTGTAGATGTATGTGTGAGTGCGTGTATGTAAGCCTTCTATGAGTAAGCAAGTCTGACCAATTCACTGTGACTCACACAGGAAGTTTGGGGTTTTTTCAGGCAAGCTGCAAATGCTGCTGCTGACAGTAACAGGGACCAGGGTAGCAGTGTGGGCAGATGGTGTTGCCAGGTGTGTGCTGTGTGCCAGGCACAGACTTAGGATGTAGGTATTCTGTTAGGAGTCCCGATCAGGACACAGAGGCACAGAGAGGTGAAGCAACTCCCCACAGTTGTGTATCTGTTGTGTGTCAGAGCTGGGATTCTGGGCCAGGCAGTTTAGCTGCCTGCTCTCTGAACCGTACGCCCGCCAGCTGCCCACACAACAGCCACTGCCAAGAACATACAATCTCTTTCTGCAACTTAGAATTGTTTCAGCAAAACTTGGTGCTAAGACGGCCACCACCAAGCCATTCATCGGAAAGTGAGAGCGCCAATGAGCAGCTAACCTGGGGGGGGCGGCTTTTAGGGGAGGGTTCCTGACCTTCCTCCACACTTCATCATATGCCCCAACTTCCAACCAGGAGCCACCTAGCACCAGAGCCTCTGCAAAACAGGCCCAAATCACCCACTGCCACCAAGTGGGTTCCAACTCATAGCAACTTTGTACAGGGCTTCTGAGGAGCAGCAGGTGGCCTTGAACTGCCCACCTTGTGGTTAGCTGTGTCTAGTACTATCTTAAGATTTCTGAGACTAAATCTTCATGTGAGCTGACAATCTCATCTTTCTTCCATGAGGCGGCTGATGGGTTTGAACTGCACCTTGCAACTAACAGCCCAGGGCTTAAACCACCTCTAAATCAGGGCTTTCTACCCCTGAGGTAAGTATTTAAGGTTTTCAGTCTGTGGAGCAGAGAGGGTACCAGACGGCATGGACAGAAACGGGCTCCACTGGGTAGGAAGAGGGCAGGAGACCTACCAGCTAGATAGCCGTGTCCTCCACAAGCCTCCCTGCACTCCTGGACCCCTCGCTGGGCCGTCCACGAGGTCAGGGGCTTGCCGGCAGAGGCCAAGGCGTGGATCTCGCGTCCAAGCGCTGCCTTTAGGAAAGAAAATCCGCAGGTGAGAAGAGACCCCGGACGCCCAGAGACGGCGACTGGTTTAGCACCGGCATGGCCTCACGTCTAATCCCCGACCCCTATAACCCCACTTGGAAGCCGGGGTTGGTCTATGAAACAGGGCTCCTCCCAGAGTGGAGGAACCGTGGCACCCTCACAGTTTGCTCAGTGATGGAAGGGTAGACAGGCCTTGGGGCCATGCAGAATGCTGCATGTGGTTCACATAACGTGTCCATAACTGTTAAGGACCTAGATGGGCCTCCCACTGAGTGGGAGGGACGGCTGACCGGAGGTCACAGGCAGTGATGTGGTACCCACAGCTGTATGTACACTTTTTAAAACCGTCCTCTGCTGCCGCTCAGTAGCTAATGAAGGATTTAAGAGATACACAGACATACTTGCTAAAAAAAAAAAAAAATTTAGCAGCTGAGTCAATTCTGACCCCTGGCGACCCCGGGTGTGCAAAGCGGAACTGCTCCAAAGGGCTTTGGAGGCTGTGGATTGTCATAAGCAGACCACCAGGACTTTGTTCCGCAGCACTTCTAGGTGGGCTCAAACCGCCAACCTTTCAGTTGTGGCCGAGTGTCAGCTGCTTCTACCACCCGAGACTGCCTTGTGCTTCATGGATGTTTTAGAAGCGCTGCATTGTTACACAAATACATGATTGGGGGAGGGGTTATTTCCATGGACACATTATATGTGGTAGTCTGGTCACCGCTACGCGTGCTAAATGAAATGACCCATTTGACTAGGGTTTTCAACTTCAAACGAGAAGCCATTCTGAAGTCGTGCTGTGACCAGGGCTGACTCCCAGTCCTTCAGTGAGGAGAGTGTAACGTTATTAGCAGGAGAGAATCCAACAGTCCATTGGCCACGCCAATGACTCACTTTCGGGAAAAACAGGCCTTTAACCCCTTCCTCCTTCCCCACATGCCTGCCGCCCCTTGGGCCTGGTTGGACTCAGTTGGGGTATCCACCCCACACCCAGCCACCTCACTCTCGGGTGTGATAATTGGGAGCAGGTTCTTTGGGGTGTTGTCCATCACCCGGAATTTGCTGTCAAATGAATCCCTGCTCGGGGCTCTGGGGACTAAGGGTGAGACAGCCACTGGGCTCAGAGAATCTGACACCAGCTCCTGGCATGGATCCCTAGCCGTCAGCTCCGATTTCGTCATCAGAGCTGTTTATGAAAGGGTCAGAAACGTGAAATCCACTCAGGGGCGGGTGATGTGGATTTTGCAAAACCATCATGTTCTGAAAAAGGAGGTGGACAAGCGCGAAGTCCAGACCACGGCGGTCCGGGCCAAGTGTGTGCCGACAGACAGGTCCCTGCAGCCGTGTCTCAGGGCCCAGCCAAGGGGACGGTCACCGGTCCCAGACCCACTCACCTGCTGAGCACTCCGCCCCTGACTCTGCATGCCTTGATAGAACTCCAACAGGTTAATGAAGAGACACTTGGAGAAGTGGCTCAAGGCAAAGACAGCCGCCAGGTATGGGAGCAGCCGCCATTGCTAAAAAGGAACACAGAGGGCTGTGGCGGTCAGGTGCCCAGTGTGCGGGGCCACACCCCACGGCTTCACGTTCCCGCAGCCTCTCCGCACGTCCCTGTGCTGCCCGGCCAGCCGCAGGTCTCACCACCACCCTGAAAACCTCAAACCAGCTCTGCTCCTCTTGTCCCGCATGGCGGCTTCTCTTAAAGAAATGACCGGGACAAAGGGAGCGTGAACCTGGAAGCAGCCCCCTGAAGGCCGGCTGGGCCAGGGTGACAGGCTGGCCAGCAACACCACCATGCAGGTGTCCCTAGAGCCCAGAGAGGGAGCACAGGCTCCCAGCGCCTGACACAGGATGGGGGAGGGGGGGTGTCTAGGTGGATGTGGGTAGATGGATGGATGGATGGAAGGATGAGGAGCTAGTACAGGGACGTGTGGATGGGAGGGAAGATGGCTGAATGGAGAGCAGGATGGATGGTTGGTGGATGCATGGGTGAGGAGATGGATGTATGGGTATATGTATGGGCAGATGAATGGATGGAGAGAGGATGGAGTGAGGGATGGATGAATAGAGGATAGAAGAAAGGATGGGTATGTGGATGAATGGGTGGACAGACAGATAACAGAAGGGAGTGAGGGTAGATGATGGATGGATGCAGAATGGATGGACAGATGGACAGATGGCAAGGAAGAGGAACAACCAGGGAAAAACCCTTGCCACCATCCAGCATTTACAAAGCGCTTACTGTATGCAGTAATTTACATCACTCTAAGGAGCTCTGATAGCGTAGTGGTTACGAATCAGGCTGCGAACTTTAAGGTCAGCAGTTCAAAACTACTGCCGCTCCGCAGGAAACAGATGAGGCTTTCTGCTCTCGTAAAGATTCACAGCCTTGGAAACCCTGTACGGGGTCGCTATGGGTCGGAACCAACTCGATGGCACTCAACAACAACAACAATCAATAATTATTAGCTCTACTTTGTTGTTGTTGTTGTTGTTAAGTGCCGTCGAGTCGGTTCCGACCAATAGCGACCCTGTACAGGGTTTCCGAGGGTGTAAATCTTTACAGGAGTAGAAAGCCTCATCTTTCTCCAGCGGAGCGGCTGGTAGTTTCAAACCGCTGACCTTAAGGTTCGCAGCCCGATTCGTAACCACTACGCTACCAGAGCTCTACTTTACCAAGGATTAAACACAAGCACAGAGAGGGCAAGCAACTTGCTCAAGGGCACACAGCCAGGGGGTGGTGGACTGGAACTGGGAGCCCAGCATTGTGGTCGTTAGTGAGGTCAGCACCAGCCCACGCCGCTGCCCACCGCCCCTCCACCATCTCAGTGGCTGATCTCTCGGAAGGCATGCTTTGGCTCTTATCGCCGCAGCCACGTCCACGTCTCCAGCATGGCTGTGATGATGTCTCAGGAACAGGGAAGTCAGAGAAGGTAGCTGTGGACGGGACTCTGAAAAGTCTGTGAGGAGGAAGGTATCCACCATCTCCCCAAAACTTCACGGGACGCACTTCCCTTCCCTCTCCTACGTTTGCTGTTGATAAATGCTGTTGAGTAGGTTCTGACTCACAGCAACCCTGTGCAGGGTTTTTGAGGAGCGGTTAATGGGTTTGAACCCACAACTTTCTAGTTAGTAGTGCAATGCTTACCCTACAGGATCATGCCAGAGCCTATTTAATTGGCCAACAGTCCAGCCTTCCTGTTCATTGTCCTCATCAGCACCCCATAGATCGCACTAGGACTGCCCCAGAGGTTTCCTGGACTGTCCACCTTTAACAACGCAGGCGGCCTTATCTTTCTCCTGCAAAGTGACTGGTGGGTTTGAACCGCCAACCTTTCAGTGAGTAGCCTAACACTTAACCACTGTGCCACCAATGTTCCTGACTCTCTGATGCTGTGTAATATTAATTTATGCAAATATCTGCTAACATATCCAACCCAAATCCAGAGACATCAATCGACTCAATTCTGACCGTAAACAACCACAGAGAAGAGTCGGGCTGCCCCAGGGAGGGTCCAAAACTGCCCTCTTTACGTGAGCTCCCAGCCACATCCTTCTCCCTCAGAGCAGCTGGTGGGTCTGAACCGCCGACCTTCCAGTTAGCAGTCCCTATGCCCAACAGGCTCCTCAGCTCCTAGGTCCCAACCTGTGGTGATGGAAAGGGCTGCACCTGCTCCCAGGGGAGACTACCTGCATCTGGTACTCGAGCACGGGGATCTCCTCCATGTTGGTGGGTCCAAACTGGCGCCGTGTGGCCGAGAACCGGATGGCGATGCACACAGCCAGCTTCAAGTTGACCGTGGACATACTCATGATACTTACACGGCCAGCAGACAAGCTGTCCAGGGAGGCCCCGAAGCGCTGCCTGTTGTCCTGCAGGGGAAGCAGGTGGCCGAGTGAGCCAGGGCACTGGGTGGTCTCAGACCAACGTGGGTGAAGGTACGGCCGTGCGCCTCCACTCAGCAGTGACCAGCCGTGTACTCTGCCCACACACGGGAGGGACCAGTGTACTGTACTCACACACGGGAAGGACCAGGCGTGCACTCTGCCCACACACGGGAGGGACCAGGGGTGCACTCTGCCCACACACAGGAAAGACCATGCCATGGCCCTGCCACACCGTCACCCTAGGCCATATGCTGCACGGAACACTAGTGACCAATGACCAGAGGAGTTGTGAGGAAACATCCAAGATATAATCCAGGAAGGAAGCAGGGCATCCTTTAAAAGGCAGGAAAGAGGGAAAAGACCAAAGCGAATGTCAGAAGAGACTCTAAAACTTGCTCTCCCACGTAGAGAAGTTAAAGCAACTGGAAGAAATTGAAGAAGTAAACGAGCTAAACAGAACATATCAAAGGGCAGCTAGGGAAGACTTAAGCATTATCATGCAACGTGCAAAGACCTGGAGTTCTAAAACCAAAAGGGAAGAACACGCTCAGCATTTTTGAAACTGAAAGAACTGGGGAAAAAAATTCAAGCCTGAAGGATTCCGCGGGCAGAAAATGGCATTGTCTTCATTTACTTTAACCTCCAGAGAGAGGGGAATGCAGCTATCCTCCCTGGTACAGCAGCGAAAGAGCTTTGAGAATACAAATCCATGCCGCTCTTCTCAATAGTTTGTTTTACTCTGAAAAGATAGCTTAAAACAGGCTGTTTAGACAAATGCATATTAGGTTTATGACTCATTTTAAATCAATACCTTTTTAAAAATATTTCTCATACGGTAAATGGAGTCCTGGTGTGGCACTGGAGGTGAATGTGCTGGACTGCAAAGTCGTTTGAATTGTAAACTCACCAGCTACTCCTAGAAAACCCTTTACAGGGTCCTTATATATAAACCAATACAGTTGTTAGGTGTCATCGAGTCGGTACTGACTCATAGCGACACTATGCACAGCAGAACAAAACCAGGTTGCCTGGTCCTGGGCCAACCTCACTACTGTTCCCACGCTTGAGCCCATCGATGCTGCCACTTGGCCAATCCATCT